ATTGCCACAAGCATGATTATGCCCCCCAAGTGGCGTTGAGGATACACACAAAAAAACCACAAAAAACGTTGTAGTGAACGAGAAAGAAGACTCATGATAAATATTGTTGGCATCATTATGGAGGCAAGATTATGTCCAGGATTGAGTTTAGTTGATTATTGACTGTTTTTTGTCATCATTGTGGAAAAACTCAGGTGCTTTTTCACTATCAATTCATCACAATGTGCATTGCACATTAACTCCCAATTGTTTACGAGAATTGAACGAAATTATAATTTTTTGGCAAAGTTAGCTCTTTTTGTCTGAATGAAGAAGCGAAACTTGACTGACGTACGACTTTTTTTAGAAAACAAAATAGAAGAATCATCATATGTATTAAATCCTATTACGAACTTTGTACGCTTTTTGTTCTTTACATTTTTATGAAGAACTACGAAAATTTTCTGTCATCTAATAATGAAAAAGAATTATATACGTTATTGAGATCAGTAATTATGTTAGACGGAGCTATTTTTCTATATATTAATGTAGCTTAATTGTTAAATGATTAATCGAAAGGACGACGTTTATTTTAAAAATTTCAATGGATCTCACCATATGAATCGTGTGTTAAATTCCTCGAGAACTTTTATCAGGGTGTGGGAGTGTGGATGTAGGAGTTCGTCCTATCAACTCCCACATCCATGCCCACACTTTACTATGGTGGTTGGATAGTGTATGAAGATTTTACAGATTGTTCTGATGCTGCGTGCAAGAAAGATAATGTCTTATATCGTTGTAGAACTAATTAAACCCTCTGGAGATAATTTTCATACATATTCCGTGGCTTTATGAAGTTTTCAATTTTCATTCAATAATTATATTCGAAGAAAACAGAGAATCGAGCATTAATGAACTACTGAGATTTTCGGGTCGGGTCGGATCGGATCGAGTGCCGGATTCAAAAGTTGAACCCGTGCAGAACTCTACTGTGAAATGTGATTGTGAGGGTGTGGGTGTATTTAGTCTTCAAAAAATGACATTTCCACACCCACACCTTTCACCTTTGGAAAAGCTCAAACGACATGGGAATCCTGTAGATCGACTGTTGAAACTTATACAACAATAACGTAAGCGTAATTGACACTTTTCGATTAGCTAATATTTAAATACTTTTCATAGCAATCAGATTGGCATTACAAAATAATGAACAAAAACCATCATTTCAACCACAAGAAGCACAACAAATAAATCATAAACTAGAGCAATATCAACAAAATGATCAAGTACAACGGTTTTTTTTTATTTTAGGAGAATAAGATCTATATTAATAGTTTGATTATCATTCCAATTTCTAAAATATCCTGTTTAATTTAGTTTTTTGATTCCTATTCGAGATTCTCCTCCTTCTCTTCCAAATAATTCTGTTGAGAATATTTCAAGTACGGTTGAAAGAGATCGCATCAATCATTTTGGACGATATGAATCTTCGGATGAAGTTGACATTGAAGCAATGATTCGAACAAGTCGATTCTATTCTGCAAAAGGATTTAATCAATCAGAATATTCTAGAAAAGAAAGTATAATAATTCATATGAGTTTGTTCCTGCTTCAACTATGATTCTTTATATTGATCGCAATGTAATCCTAACTGATGCCATGATTGACCAGGGCTAACAACTTGCTTGATTACTATCTGGCCTTGCAAAAGATGTTTTTAACATGCCTGTGCAAACAATGCATCTATTTCGTGATATTGATAGTGGTAATTATATAAGAGATCATTGAAGTCAATTTAACAATCGTTTTTTTTTGTTTATTTTGTAGCACATATTGCTTTCAATAGTAATGGTGCATTATTCTTCAATCTTCATTATTTCGAACAAGTATTTACCGGTGATCTTAAATCATACTTTCATAATACTTCATCATCCATTTCCATTGTTCGTACTATAGTTAATTTCTATTCTATGGCTACCTGCCATGAATTATCACATAATATTGATTCACATCATGATTTTAATTTTATTAATCGTCTTGAAAAAGTTTCCGTTCGATTTATGGATGCAAAAGATGCATTTCTATCCAAATTTTCTTTTCAATAACTATTGTCAAATACTTCTGTAATTATTCGCTTGTTTTTTTGTTTTGAAAATATACTTTAAGTTATTCTTTGAGAGTCGATTACTGTCATCAGCATCCTATGAATATGCATCAGAGATCAAAATAACAATGTTCTGCTGGTATTCAAAGCTATATAAAACATTTCTCACTGGCAAAACTTTCATACAAATACACTTCCAATCTAGATCATTTCTTTATTCAGTGAATCTATGCAAATAGAGTCTGCTTAATTTTTAGCTTAAGACACATACAACATGACTGTCTTCATTATGACCATTTCTTCGGTTGTGTTATATATAAGCAATAGCAAATCTAAAATAGGATCTAAAGTTGTGCCAACATAAGTTTTGCTTGTGAGTGTGAGAGTGTGGGTGAATGCCAAAACTCAATTTATAACCATATCCACACCTAGACACCTGTTGAACATTAGTGTGAAACACAATTCTTGATTATAACTTATAATGAAGTGACTTAGAAGAATCACTCACAACTTGCGATGAACTGTCAATATTCAATCGATTAAGAATCCATACATTTGTTTTTCACTGTGGGAAATTATGCTGAAGAGATAGACTTTAGTCATTTAGAGAGGCAATTTGATATCAAGGTGTCGAAGTTACTCAAAGTTCGTGCTCAGAGACACATTTTTAACACATAATCAAAACAAAGAGCGACCATTGCTGAAAATTGTTTTTCAGCGAAATGAAGAATCGTGTTATTTGTTTGTTACATCCATCAATGGCTTATTACTCTATGAGATGGATTTTGTTGAGAAAAAGCATATGTTTCTGATGGTTGAAAGGGACAAGAAAGCTTTAATTTTTCATTTTTTCTTTCTTTTGCTTTTTGGCAACCATCAAATTTCATTTAATTTTTCTAGAGAAGTAATGCAATCCGATTCGGAAGAAGAAAAAAAACACTACTGGTCTATACATACTGTGTGATTTTGATTTTTCTTTGTTGGCAGCAAGTAAAAGTGAGTAGTAAAAAATGCAAGTTTCTATTCGTCAGATGTTCTTGCTCCATCTGGGAACAAATGCGCAGAATGTAACAGAATAAATGCATAGCCATTGGTTTATCTTACTCAAGTTATATCTAGGTTTTAGACTTCAACCACATGTAGTACATGATGCTCAAAGAAATATGGAAGGCTCATTTCAATTGAGATAGAAAATCGATTGCAAAAAGTTTAAATATACGTGATACGGTATTAAAACTATCCTTTCATACAAGCAGTGGTCATCAAGGGCCACAAAATTGCGGAAGTCCGTGCCAAAAATGCTCGTCCACCGGACATTGGATGAAAGCGACACCTATACAGAAAAATTCAAGCTGAAGCTACGGTATTATAGTTACTATCAGAGATGAGCACAGGACAAGATTTTCTCTCCTGTTCTGTCCTGTTCTGCCAGCTATCTCGGTCCTGGCGGGCGGAAGGACAGGACAAAAATCAAAATCTTGTCCTATCCTGTTTTTGTCCTGTTAACTTTTTTGTTCTAGCGGGCGGCAGGACAAGACGTCACGATTTCTGCCGTTTTTCTACCAATTAAATCCGTTTTCACAGGTTGTAAAATACAAAGAGTGAGTTTTACTTCTACTTTCATTGTACAAAGCAAACATCACCAATTAATATTTTCTAACTAATGCATTTTATATAGTTTTCAAGAAAAAAAATATTAGAGATGAGCACAGGACAAGGATTTTTTACCTGTCCTGGCGGGCAGCAGGACAGGACGAAAATAAAAATCTCGTCCTGTCCTGTGCTCATCTCTGATTTAAAAGTTCATTGAGAGAAAAGATGTTGTGCTCGGAAGCTTGCTAGATGATTGAATTAGTGTGCAAAGCAGGCTAATATGATAGTTGAACCGACGAAACGAGGAATAAAATGATGTGTGCCACTTCTCGTGACATGTATCTAATATATTATCATTAGGAAAAAAGAGATTATCCATTGAAGATGAATCTGATATACAAATAATTTTTCACAATATAGCGGTATTAAATGAATCAAATAAGCCAGTGGAATAGGAATTTTAAATACAAACATCTTCAAAATGATAAAATTTCAGAGCTCGCCTATTAACTATAAAAGTTTCAAAAATAAATTATTTGGGAATCTTTCGCAATATAGCATAAATTTATGATAGCCAGAATTTGTCAGTTCCACAGTTTGGTTCCTCAGAGCCTACACTGACAAGTTTTTTCAACCATGAAAATATTCGTTAGAAAAACTTGTTCATATAGATCACTGATTGTTAAATATTATTGTGTCCAATTTGTAATTGTTTAAAATTATTATTTAATCAATCTTTACTTATGGGTCAGCATATTTTTCTCTCCTGATAAATGATAATGGATCCTATTATTCAGTGCAAGCTTTATTTTGGGCTGATGTGGATGTGTGTGGGTAAAGAAAAAGTCAACGCCTACACCCACTCTTGACACTTATACCCACAATTGCCGTCATTAGTACTGGGAATAAAACTAGAAAACTATAAACGAAGTGTCCTCCTAAGATTCTCAGCTTTTGTAGTTCTGTATCTGATTCTGTTTGGATGCAATATGAAACCGCTTTGGTCGTTGAAAAAAAGTTCTGTTGTTTACATTCGCGTTACGCTAGGTCACGACTAGTAGTACGTATCGGGCGTCGGTATGTGTTTCGCAGTTGATAATACCAGAGTAGGGCAGCATCACGAAGAGGTCGTGAAATATGTTCAAGTTATCCATCTTTATCTCATCCATGCATGGTCTCTACAGACACTTCAACACGTATCAGGACTTGTACTGAATTTGCCGCATGCTTGTCGTGGAATGCTGGAGACTACTAATGTACGTGAATTCGTAACGGTTTGTGGTTTTGGGGAAGGAGGGGAAAAGTATATAGGCGAAGTATCAGATACGTTCTTGTTCATTCCATTTGCAATAAGAAGGATACTGTTGGATGTTTGTATTGGGGAAGTTGTTCTAGAAGTATTATTGGACCCTCTTGATTAATAGAGTTCGCACCACATGTTCCCACCGAATGACTACTCTGAGTAAATGATGGTACCAAAACAGTAATGACAGTGGTCAACTTACAAATATCAGCACGCTTGTACTGTATATTTGAGGCAATATGATTCCGCAGTTAGTGATGCTGATCGAATTTTGAGTTGAACTTGTCGTGCCAGTGGGTGTGATTTGCCTCAATGGAAACTTCAAGTTGTGAGATCTCGATTGATAGAATACTTGACATCGCGCTGAATTGTTCTGTCGTTTGCAGACACAATAAGTCAAATATTTTCTTCAGATCCTCAATCGATTCAAAGTGTCAATATTACTTTCCACAAACTTGTAAACAGCTTATCCTATGATAACTTTCTCTGACGATATAGTCATATTGCGGCGTCAAGAATGATACTTTAATCTTGAATCGAGGTGAAAGGCTAACCTGCCAGGATCGCCAGATATAAGAAATCATGCCGAAACAACATGGGGGAAAGTATCTGGGCGTGAGTGTTTGATGAGAAGAAGACTCTCACTGAAGTTCTGTCTGGGATGTCATTAGTCGTCTTCGATGGAGACGGAACTGAAGTCGTTAAAAGAAATTTTTTCGAATTAATGTCTCAGTTACATCAGTAAAACAATCAAGTATTTTTACTCTTACTTCGTGACAATTTTATTCTTCTTAAGTAAGGAATAAAAATCCACTGCCTTACGGACTAATAAATCAATTTCAAGAGAAAAACTTGCTATTGCAGCCCTGTTGGGGCTGAAATGTGTAACTCGCATATTTTCTTTAGCTCCATTATACTGATAGAAATACATAAAGTGAAAAATCTCTCGTAGAATAGCTGTTTTCCAAAATAATCGATCACTAGAGTAAGAAACTGTCTAATTTATTTTTGTATATCGAGCAATTTTTTTTCACGTCCTTTTTTGTTGTGTGCATCAGTTCACACTTTGCATGTTACTTATATCACAACTGTAGCAAATCAATGCCTCGTTACTCATCACCTTTAGCATTTTGAAGATAAACGTTGATCAGCGCAAAAATCAAGCACTGCACTATTTAAAACATTGACAGACATATTCCAATCACTCAAATGTCGATGAAGGCTATATAAAATTTTAGAATTTCATAGAACAGCCAAACTCATGTCTGTAATTGCGTTCAGCTCTCTTTTTCTCGATCGCTAACATCTGTAATAGAGAGAAGCACAGTGGACAGCCAGGTGACGAAGTCAATTTTCGAGATTTCAGCCTACAGCATAGGTAGCGTTGAAACTGCTATGATGCTGCATTTAAGTGCATCCTGGATGCTGCTTTATATAGTGAGCATCTGTTAAGCAGCAGGTATCACAAGAGTATGTAAAATAGGTGAATACAATTAATAGGACCATATAAGTAAAACGTATTCATTAGTTAGTATGTTGTTATACAGTGTAATGCATTTATTATATATTACAGGCCATTCAGACTTCTTGAAGTTCTTTACCCTATAATAAGATGGAAAACTTACATTCAGTACAGTAAAAACACAATCACTGGTCAATAATGCAGTTATTTCCCCGAAACTTTAATTCAAATTTTATTCTGTTATTTGTTAGAGCATGTCATAATCTATGTTCAATCGATGCGCAAAGATATGCGTTTAAATCCTTGGTGAGATATAGTGTCGCAAATGTAACCTTCTGTCAAAATGTTTTGGCAATTTTTATATAGTGATCACTTATGTTTCTTGTCTATCAAGTTTCGAATAGATAAATAAGCAGCAAACGTACACCAAAGTCAGGTAATTTATTACTGAGTAGATGTATAACATGAAAGTTTCATTTCATTTTCGTGTACAAATCACACTGTAATAAAATTTTCATGTCATATCTTTACGCAGTAATACATTTGTTGCATTGTATGACAGCATTAAAAGGAAAAAGGAAAAAACACTTGTCCAAGCGTGTAAAATAATCTGTTTCATATTTTAATAATTTTACGTTCGTAACCCATGTAAAAAGAATTAAGGAAAAATTAAATCATACCATGAGGCGGCAAATCTTAAATCAATACCAATTTTGAAATATGCGTGCCAAAATTTGAAAAATTTAAAATCATGAAATTTTTTTAAATTTCCGTGAATCAGAGGAATCCACGAAAATTTGGATTAAGTTAATGGTGATTAAATCATTTTAAACACCACTAGTCAGAAAATCACTAAGAGCTCAAAAAATATCCTACTATATCCAATTTAATCAGCAGTCAGATATAAGAAATCTACCTACCTCTTGTATTCAGATTAACCAGAAATCATATATCTACTGTCGACACCTTTTTGTTCATTACGATTTAAGGAAACAGAAAAGTGTTGAACAAAATACTTATAAACCTGACTTGGATGGAATTTTTATCAGGAAATTGACAGTGATTAAAACTGATATTTAACAAATAAGATAATATAAATACCGAAAAGATACTGAAAAATAGAAGTATATATTGAGGAAAATTCTATACTGTTGGTTCAAATGAGCTAATACCGGTAGTTCTACAATTTTTTAAATTAAGAAGAATTGTAAGAAACGTTGTCGATTCCAGATACTGGCTATCTGAAAAACTTAGTGTACTATATGAGAAGCAAGTAAAATCTGAATTTGTAGCATCCCTACTTATATTTTAAACACCTTAAAGTTCTAAAATCTCAATCATGGCATCCTATAGGAAGATAAGATATTAAAGTCAATAATTTGAGAGTGCATGCAACATTTTAACTTTAATATCGTCGATATTATTAATTTACAAAATAAATGTCTTCATTCTAAATATAGAAATGTAAGATAAAAATATATAAGGATATAGTCATAATGATAGCTTTAAGAGTATATGTCTCCGCTACTTGACTCTCTCTTGCAGAATCACGTGGGGGAGTCCCTTGAAAATTGTGAAATCCCCGGGGACTCACCAGTTAGTCACTCAACGAAACCCCAATGAATTGTTACAATATTACAACTTCCTGGAGACTTCCTGGTTTTTAGGGAGTAAAGAGAAAACTACGAACACTGTAGGGAGCTCCTCGATGAGGAGTCCCTAAGGATTTTTTCTCTCGTGATCGTATTCAAAAAAGCGCATAAACACTTTAAATATATTCTAAATCACATAAATTCATAAACAACAAGTAAGGTCAAGTGATTGGTTACAGGTGCATTTTAAGCTAATAAATTAGAATATAAATTGTTTTGTTTTTTCAAGATGAATTTTAAGTAAAAGGCATAGCGAAAAGCATCAGTTCAACATATTTAATTGAATTTTTTTTCTTTTATAACAATTTACGACAATAAACTCAATAGTAAATTTTATTGTAAGATATCAATTCAGTGCCCTTTAGTTTGATTCATCTAGGCGAATTAAAATGGCAGATATTATTTTTACAAATAAAATTTTATCTTTTTTGTCTAAATTAATCTGAAGAACAATTAAAAGGGTAAATCTTCACTTAAGAAATTCAAATCAGTTTTCTTATTTAAATTGATCTTAATCATAAATTGAATGTGATTATTGCTTGAAAAAGATTAATTGTATTTTTTTTTCTTTAAGCGAATCTCGAAAAGCAATCATAACGGTACGTTTTATTTCAAAAATTAAAACTATATTGTTTTTATTTATATTGAAAGCAACAATAACTACAATAGTAAGTGCTATTTCAAAAAATTAAAAGATTTATTTTACTTATATGAATATCTAGAATAGCTGCAACAGTAAGTAGTATTTTAAAAATCAAGTAAGCATTCTTTTTCTCGTTTAGATGAATAGTAACAGTAATCAGAACTACAATTCATCAAAACAAAGCTTCAGACAAATGAAACATGCCAACTTTTTTCACAAAATCTACTTGTACCAAGTCTATTGCACTATGATCTAGTAAACAAAAGTTAGGCTATCAATAACTGTCTGGCACAATTTTTCAAACTATATTTGCCAGCAGTGTTTAGACTTCTAAAAAAGTAAATTTCTCGCGTATATTATCCAAGTTCAGAAATTACTCCCACAGAAATAGTATACCAATTGAAAAGTTCAGGAATTACCATAACTATCATTAAAACGATAGAAACAAGTCCTTCCAAAATATATCACTTTCTAGAAAATTTTCTTATAATTTTCGTTAAATTGTTGGTTGTTTTTTTTGATGAATTACTCTGTTACGATGGAGATTTCCATTATTGAAGAATTCTATTGTTTTGGAAATCTGAACATGCCACTCCCTTGTATTACATGCGAGAAAGATGAATTTTAATATGATTTCAGAACTTCTGGAATATCCTATAAAGATCATGATCTGAAAGAATTCATTGTTTCAAACTCTGATCTTTTTCTACAATTCAACCAAAATCAATTGAGTTTTGTTCTAGCAAGACTTAAGACATCTTTTACAATGTCTGATATTTCCAATTATGATTCTAATTATAAATGAATGCGTATGTCATCGGTATCTTACAAGTCTATGTCAGATTTGTCCATTTCAAAAGAATAGATAAATATTAACGAAACAACAATTGTAAATTTAAAATGAAAAGTTTTTTATAAAACAAATTCTTATACATATATATTTTATAATTATCATCTGGCATAATTGATATCAAACAGTAAAAAAAAAGATTTAATTGGTGCAAGTGTGGGTACGGGTATCCAGATGAAAAAAATATGCACAACTGCGTCCACACTCACATCCATACCCACACCCTTCTAGAATTAATTCTTCTCATATTTAAAAAAAATATGTTGACGTAGATAAAGAAAAATGAGTCAATCTATTATCTGCATTTCATTAATGTTGAGTTACGTGTTTAGGTGAAGGCTTTTTATTTTAATTTACTCAATAACAGTAAACACATACGTATGTAAATTCGCATAGAAGAGAATACGATAAAGCGACATGTCAATATTAACAGCATGACATGTCACTCAACGATTGGCAGAGAAAAATACATAAACAAGTGTATGACGTGCGCAGTATCAAGCACGCATTTTTAACACTCCTCATCAGAACATAAAGATAAGCATCAATTGAATATTTTCTTCCTGGTAGAAGTATACAGTGACGCATACTAGCTAAAATCAGTTTTTTTTAGAGGTTTTCATCAAACACAATCTACTGAAGATATGTAAATAGCAATTTCGATAGCTCTCATAACAAAGTTAAGCACTATCGTAGAGAATAAAATGCATAGATGATAGTACAGGAAAATAGAAATACTGACAGTATTGTAAAGATCTAATTACATGAGAATTCAAATTGTTTCTCAGATATTTGAATTGAAAGTTTTTGCAATAGAAGTTAGAAACATAAACTTCGATTTTCCAACGAGTATTTTCTTCAAAAATATTTTAACAAACTAATTGATTGGACGAAGTTATTGACAAGTTGCCTTATAAAGGATTAGATGTCATCATAGAGCAAGACTGTCTCTTAAAATTGAAAAACTTGATTATTTGAACGAACGTCTTATTCATTTCATTCGATCATTTTTCAAATGCCATTTACCTGATACATCATTTCTCAATTAGATTCATGCAGTACAACCTAATTGTCATTTAGTTATAGATTTTGTCTTAAACGACAATGATTGCAGCTGGCTTACTTTTTGAAAAGGTAAGAATAAAAAAATATTTGTCTTGTGTGAATTTCAGTCTTATATTGGATCGACCTCGTTTTGAATTTTATGAACACAAAATTATATTGAAAAGACAATTAACACTTTTTTATATTCTCACAGTTATCTTAAATAATTGATCAATTTTTATTCATAGCCCACGAATGATAAATCGCAACTTATTGCTGCAAAAGACGATCCAAAAATGCCATTACGAGTAAGAAATTTAATGGAGAAAGTAGGCGATGAACTCATTCTGAAAATTCAACTGGGTCGTACACCTGTTCAAGATCTCCCTCTTAAGATACTTAACTTTTTAAGCGATTCGAAATTCACCAATAAACAACTTGAACTTGGCTATGATGAAATCTATCACAATTATTTACTTATTACTATAAAGAATAGTCATGTACCCGATACACTACAACATATACTTGGAAATGTTACACAAAATGAAACTGCTAGCAGTGTTCTGAAACTTGAAAAAGCACAACGTATTGCTCTCAAATATCCAACTATACCCGATGAATTGATCGATGTATATGATATTCCACTAACACCAAATAAACCATTAACACTCAATCGATTAATTTCTACAGCCTCAAATGTCGACAAAAATTTTTACAAATATGATGCTGGTGAAAATAATATGTGTCAAACATTTGTCGAAAACATTATCGACATCAATGGTTTGACGCCTAACATTGTTGATCAAGCAACATTGAATGCACTCAAACCAATCGATGCCAAAGCATTAATTTCTACGCTAGGCAGTCGATCTCATATTGTTAAAATGGCGACGGATTTGGGCGCTAAATTTGACAAATTAGTATTCGATCGTAAGATCAAATGGAAAAAACCTCAACCAAAAGAATTTGCTCTATTGCGGAATGGTAGTGTCACTGATTCGGAAAGTATCAACGCTATATACAATACGGTTCTTCAGCTTGAAAAAAATGGTAAGAATAGAAAATATAACAAAGTCTATTACCTACGTATTGTTATTGTTTGTAGCACGGTTGGTTTTTCACTCTACACCACCACAATCGCCGCCCGAATCACCACTGCACTTCAGATTTTAAGAAAAAAAAGACTTATATACATTTAAACTACACAGGATGTTCTATAGCTCGGTTCAAAATAAAAATTGTGTACATCTTTTAACGTGCCATAAAAAAATGAGGTATATTTTCTTAGATGCTAGAAAATAGTTTCAATATTTCATTCATAAGCGAAAACTTTTCAGAGTTTATTCAAAATTGTTACCATTTACTTTAATACAGAAAATTAGCCTTTGACAATTTCTTGAATTACTTTTGGGCAATGTTCCCTAAATAATGAAAAACTTTCGAACTTCTATTTTGATTAGGTTTGACAATCGCGAAAAAAGCAATTATCAGTTATTTTGATGAAACATGAGCATAAAATACAAGTTTGGTTTTCCACTATAATTTTATCTGATTATTCGTAGGGCTGTTGCATTCATGAGTCAATTTGCTCGTCGCTTTAATGGCGTGGTGTGACAGACAGGTTTGAACCCAGTTCGTACTCGCTATGTATATTTTCACTCATATCGCATAACTACTAACTCGCCACGTAAACAAGGTAATGGGTAAACGCTATTAACAATAGGTCATTGTCATCTTAATTCAACACAGAGAAACCAACACACTGAAGCATTCTTTTGTCATATTATTGCTATGGATTGAATTTAAACAAGGACTCGATTAATGAAACATGTTGATTTTGACAGAATGCAACTGTTTTCTTGCATCACATTGCATGATTTATCATACTTTCACTGGCTATTATAAGACAATGATGCGCTCCCACGCACTTACGTCCATCATTTCCCCAGTCAAGTATATCGTCAGTTGTCACTTGCCACATTTGTATTTGTGCTTCTGTTGACGATCTGTTTATAAAAGATTAACAAGAAAACAAATAATTTGAGCAGTAGTAGAAAACAAGACAACAAGATAGAAATTTTTCAAACTTGATATGTAGACTACCAACATACAGAGATTTGGATTTTGAAAACAAACAAAGAAACAAATGAGACAAACAGTTGGAGAAAAAATCTCAGCGCATGATTTCAGAGACTCGAGAGAGAGAAAAAAAATTAGATGAAACTCGTTAGATTAAGTACTTTGACTCCTATTGGATTCAAAATTGAAAAATTATCAATGCATAA